ATTAATTTATTTTCAGTTACAGTTGACACATAATACTATATTTTTCAGATGTACAAGATAGTAATTAGATATTCATATACAAGTACTTTATGAAGCAATCAACCTGAAAAGTCTAGTATTTATCTGACACCATATATAGTTAATACAATACTAACCAAGCTTGCACCTCAGGCAAAATTCCCACTGGTGTATGATCTTTTTAATATATTGCTATATTCGGTTTGCAAAACCAAGTTGGCTGTAATTTGGGGGGTAGTTTTTTTGTCTGTGGTTTTAGTATCAGGGTAATACTGACCTCATAAATTGAGTTTTGGAGATTTCCTTCCTCTTCAACTTTTGGGGATAGCTTGAGAGAGATAGACATTAATTCTTCCATGAACACTTGGTGAAATTCACCTGTAAAGCCATCAGGTCCAGGACTTTCGTTTGTTTATTGATTCTATTTTGTTACTAGTTATTAGTGTGTTCAGATTTTTTGTTTCTTGCTCATTCAGACTTGGATGAGCATATGTTTCTTGGAATTTATCCATTTCTTCAAGGTTGTTCAATTTGTTAGTATATTATTGTTCATAATATTTTTTATAATCCTTTGTATTTCTGTGGTGTTCATTATCATTTTTCCTCTTTCATTTATGATTGTATTTATTTGGACTCTTTTTTTCTTCATGAGTTTGCAAAAGGTTTATTAATTTTGTAAGTATTTTTTAAAATGAGTTCTTGGTTTAATTCATATTTTCCATTTTTTAAAAATCTCTATTTCATTTATTTCCACTCTTCCTTCCACTCACTTTGGTATTTGTTTATTGTTATTATTGCTATTGTTTGTTATTATTTCTTTCTGGTTCCATTAGTTCTAAGTTTAGACTGTTTATTTGAGGCTTTTCTTATTTGTTGAGGTTGGCCTATATTAATATAAACTTCCCTCTTTGGATCATTGTGTTTTAATTTTTATTTGTCTAAAGGTATCTTTGATTTCTGCTGTCATCTCATTGGTAACCAACGCACTGTTTAGTAGCATGTTACTTAGTGTCAGTGTGTTTATTTTTTAGTTTTTTTCTATATTGAGTTATAACTTCATAATGTTATGACTGAAAAAGATGTTTGATATAATTTTAGTCTTCTTAAATTTATTGAGACTTGTTTTATGGCTTAAATGTGGTGTATCCTGGAAAAAGTTCAATATGTACTTGAAAAGAATGTATATTCTACTTTTGGGTGACATGTCCTAAAAATATATATTAAGTTCACCTGCTGTAATGTGTTGTTTAAGATCACAAGTTGCTTGTCGATTTTGTCTGAATGCTCTATTCATTGATAGCAATGAGGTATCAAAGTCCCTCACTATTTATTACTGTGTCACTGTGGATCTTTCCCTTTGTGTCTATCAATATTTATTTTATAGATTTAGGGGCTCTAACATTGATTGTATAGATGTTTATGAGAATTATGTGTCTTGTTGGATTGATTCCTTTATAATTACAAAATGTCCTTCTTTGTCTATGATTATAGCATTTGTTTTAAAGTCTTAATGAACCATCTGTGGACAAACACAGCTTACTCTTTTGTCTTCCCTTAGGATTGTTTCAACTACTTACCATGAGATTTAAATGGTTGTGGTGATTGAAGTAGATGAACTGATGAGGCATTGTACAACTACTATTATGTTGAATTAATATGGGACTGTGTATATTATCCTTACTGTTCTGAATTGAGTATGGGATGTCACTTTGTCTAATCCAGTGAAACCAATATAGCTCGTTAAATCAATAAAAATTTTATGTATGTGTAAAAATAATTATTTTAAGTTGATCAATTCAGTTTGAACATCTTCTACAATCTCTACAATCTATACTCACCTCTCATATTTATGTTTTTAGTCATTTCTTTTCATCTGGTGTATTTGTGTGTATCCATTAATTTATTCTTGCGATTACACATAGCATTCTTACTTTTGTCCTTTAATCTTTGTACTGCCTTTATAATTGGTCAGTACGCTGTTTTTACAAAAAGTTTGTCTTTGCCAGCGAGATTTTTTTTCTTTGCTTTATTTTCTTATTTACATTTTTGATATTTTCTTTTCCACCTAAAGCCTGTAACATTTCTTGTAATTGTGGTTTACTGGTGATGAACCCCTTTTAGCTTTTGTTTGAGACAATCTTTATTTTTCAGTTTTAATAGCCTTGCTGGGTAGACTAACCTTGGTTGTTAAGTCTTTACTTTTTGTCACTTGAATATCTTATGCTAATCCCTTCTGGTCTGAAAAGTTCCCGTTAAGAAATCAGCTGACACCACTAGGAGAGTTCCCTCCTACATAATTACTTTTCTCTTGCTCATTTTAAGATTCTTTCTTGTTTATAACCTTTGGCATTTTAATTATGATGTGTCATGGTTTGAAACTTTATGTACTTCCTGGTCTTGTATAGCTATTTCTTTTGTCAGGTTTGGGAGGTTTACAAGTCATTACTTCTTCAGAAAAAATTTTAATTCCTTGCTCTCTCTCAGTATTGATAGAATGACCTTATGTAGAAGGTGCCCTATAGAGCGCAGTGGCACAGTCTCCCTGGTCACTTGAGCTGGGTGCTCCAGGGGTGTCCCCTGTGTGTGCCCTCTTTTTGTACTTGGCATTTGACTGTTGTCTGTATGTCAATGGGTGGGGCTAACTCTCAGGAGAACTGGCTGTTAGGACTGGCCATGACCACCATAGATGAGCTGCTGTGCAAGAGTTGACCCCATGGAGTGGGAGTCACTTTAGCAGGGCCTCTCATTCCAGCCAAGTCTGCTCTTTTGGTGTGTCTTTTGTGACGTTCATTGGGTAGGACTCTGATGCAGTCTGAAGCCTACTCCTGCATTCATTGGGTCTGGAACCTCTCAGGAGGAGCTCTGGTGTAGACCAAAGCTAGCCATTTCTTGTCAGGGCTTGGGGCTGTTTGGTAGGAAACACAAAGTGACCTGCGGCTGGTTGTCACTTGTGTTGGACTTGGAGGTGCTTGGAAGAAGTTATGCTGCAAACAGAAGCTAGCTGTGACTTGCACTAGACTTGATACCTTTCGATGGATGCAATGATGCAATCTGAGGCCTGTTGTTATTTGTGCCGGGCTTGCAGCTGCTTAGTTGGAGCTATGTTACAGGCCATAACTGGCTCCACTTACTCAGGTTTGGGGCCACCTGATAGGAGTTACAATACAAATTGAGACTGATCATCACTTCTGCTAAGCTTGTGACCACTTGGCAGGACTTAAAATTTAAGCAAAGGCCTTTTGCTGCTTGTGTGGGATTTTGGGACCTTTGAGAGAATCTGTAGCATGAGTCTAGAGCAACCACTTCCATAGAATTTGTAGACTTTTAAAATAACAGTCTTCAGCAAAAGCCCAGGGGATCTACCACTCATGTGGAGTTTACAATCCTTTGAATATGTCTGCAGCATGAGCCAAGATAGGCCATTCCTATGGAGGAACTTCTGGAAGAGGCTCAGGCCAGGTGAGGGAATTTGGGTGGGGTCTCAGGGGATCACTAGGGTAGGTTTGAACTATGTTTGCTAGGTTAATGGAGAGCATGGATTTGGGCATTCTTCTATGCTGGGCCAGCTGATGGGAGGAGAATTCAACAAAGGAATGATGGTACTGGCCAGTGATTCTGTTCCTGGAGAGAATAAATACCCCAATCCCTGCACCTCCAGCTCCAACCCAGAAGCTAGTCGATTTAGCTCCTCTTCATACATTCCTAGCACTTTTTGAGTGGCTGCCTCTGTGCTGGAACTTAGAGTAAATGGGTTGTTGCAGTGACCCTTTAAGAGCAGCATATCTTGGTCCTCTGCAGATCTTTGTCTCTCTGGGACACAATTGCCACTGGTTTTTAAAGCCAGATGTCATGGTGACTCTTCTTTCCAGCTCTGAACTTGGGAGCCCAGACTAGGGCTTTGACTGAAATCTCTCTCCTTTGTCTTACTAACCACATGTGGGCATGTGGTTAACCCTTTATGCCTCCCCACTCCTCCTACCTGTCTCAATATGACTTCCTCATATCATTAGTTATAGGACTTTTGTTCAGATAGTCTTCAGGTTATTCTATAATTTAGCTGTAATTTTGATGTGATTGTGGGAGGAGGCAATCTCAGAGTTTACCTACTCTCCTGCTTTGACATCCTGACTGAAAGTTTTAAAAAATAAGCTATGCCTTAAAAAAATAAGAATTTTTACAAAGTTACAGTATTTAGTGTTTTTCCACTGATGATTTTTGACAAAAACAGTATAATATTTCTCTTTTTCTTATCTCCCCCTTGCCTACTCTACTGAACTCATTTTGTGCACTAATTCAATTGATGCTGAGGCACCCAATTTGCTAGAGCAAACCTAGCTAGAGATTGAAGCCAGGTTGCTGCTATTTCTGTCATTATCTCAGATTGAAGATCTCACTGCGGCTGATGCTCCCAGCCTTTCAAGTCCCTCTTTGATACAGCTCAGTAGTACCTAAAGTCCTGCCTTATGTTTTAATTTTTTAAATTGAGACATAATTGGTATATAACATTATATTTGTGTCAGGTGCACAACATAATCATCCCCCCAAATAATGTAGGTATTGTAGGATGATCACCACATTGTCTAGTTAACTCCCATCACCTCACATAGTCAACTCTTTTCATGTGATGAGAACTTTTCAATTTTGCTATCTTAGGAACTTGAACTATACAATAAAGTATGATTAATTTTAGTCATCATGCTGTGCATTATAGCCTCAGCATTCATGTATCTTATAACTGGGAGTTTGTGCCTCTTTCTCTTTCTCACACCGTTTTAAAAACTTCACCATTAAAATTAACTTGACATTTTTTGTCTTCCAATGCCACTGGAAGACATCATACATATTGTGAAAATAATTATAACATAACATTAGCTTATACAGATTTGTGTATCTCAATACTGTTTGAACTAATAAAATAAAATTTTCTTTTCCTGGTGTTTTGAAAGTCTTTGCCTTACAAAATATTATCATGTGTTTTCCAGGTGCAGAATGATCTCGAAATAAAGCATAAAATCAAGGTACAAGCTTTACTTTATCCTAGCTTACAGATAATTGATTCTTATTTGCCATCTCTCAGAGAAAATGAAAACGGTATAATCATAACACGGGAAATAGCCATAAAACTCCTGGGTTTATATCTCAGTGAGAATAAAACATTGACTGAGGCAATGAGAAGAAACCAGCATATGCCTCTGGAATCAAGACATTTGTTCAAGTTTGTTAACTGGACCATTCTCTTACCCAAGAAATACAGGAAGGACCATGTTTATTATGAACCAATTCTTGGAAGAACTAATTTTTCATTACCAGCACTTATGGATGTCAGAGAATCGCCCTTGCTGGCCAGTGATTCCCAGCTACAGAATTTGCCATTAACCTACATTCTGACCTGTCAATATGATATTTTGAGAGATGACGGATTTATGTATGTGTCAAGACTTCAGAATGTTGGAGCTCAAGTTGTTCATGAACATATTGAGGATGGATTCCATGGCGCCTTATCATATATGACACCACCCTTCTATTTACAACTGGGTCTTAGGATAAAAGATAAATATATTAGTTGGCTGAATAATAATTTATAAAATATATATGACCATCACTTAGTTGGTTGTAATTAGTGATATTTTGTAGTTGTAGTGCAAAGAACAATGTCATTTTTGTTGTCTAAATCTAGATTTGAATAAGTGGTTATAATATTGCTTATCCTTGAACTAGTAAAATTTTTGACTCAGAAAACCTGCATATGTCGAATGTTTGTAATCCTATCTATTTTCCCATTACCTATAGTTACTATGAGTACGGTGGTCCTAATAGAGACTGATGCTTATTCAAATTTAGAAACAACAATACTGGCAAGTTACAGAAGACAATTTCCAGGCAAGCACAGAAATTGTAGTAATAAGTGGGAAGAGACAAAATAAGAGAAAAATGCAAAGTGATTATATTAGTTCCCTGTGGCTATTACTAAAAACTTGGTGGCTTAAAACAACAGAAATATATTCTCTTAGATGTACTGGGCCTGAAGTCCAATATGAGTATCACTGGGCCAAAATTAAAGTACTGGCAAAGGACATGCGCACTTGGGAGGTTCTACATGCTGCGCCCCGTGGATTTTCATCTGGTGGCTGCCAGCCTGCCTGGATGTGGCCACATCACCTTCAGCTCAGAAGGCAGTGTTTTTAAAACTCTCTCTGTTCCATCTTCTCATGGTTTTCTCCTCTGCCTCCTCAAAGATACATATGTCTGCATTCAGAGTCTATCCTATAATCCGGGATAATCTCCCCATCTTGAGATTTAAGTATTCTGAGGACACTTTTTTTTTTTTGCATTTCAGTCAAATTTTATTTTTTAAAAAGCAACAGATCAATGTTATAATTCCGTTTATTTAAATATGAATTTGGCAATGTGGTACATAGTGAAAAAAATTTTCTGCAAACATCCTCAAACATATCATCTCAAAATACCCAAAAAGTAAATCACTTCTGCAAGCCTTTTTGTTAACTGGACTCATGTAACTAAAGCTGAAGATTTATTGGTGTGAAAAATATATGTAGTACAGTAGTATGAATCTTGGGTATGGAGCATAATCTATTGAAACAAGCTAAGTGATTAATAATAAAAAGGTGGAAAAAGTGTGTGCATGTGGGAATATGTGTGCCTATGGGGGGAGGGGTGGGGGTGAAAATGGACCAGCTAGCTGACCTAAGAGCCACAGAGATACCTAACTTGTTCAGTTAAGACCAGACATTATATCGTTACTATCGTTTTTAAAAGGGAATTAAAAATAACAGTTTCAATAGTCCATAAACCATATACGTTTTTAATGTAGAAAGAAATTGTGTGCAAAAAGCTGCTTTTCTTCAGTTCAATTTCAGCACCCAAAGGATGAAAGATGCATCCATAATCATAGCAAATAAAAATAAAAGGAATGGCATTGGAATCAGTTGTTCTTCCCCATTGAAGTTTATAAAATCTATACAGAAAATTGATATTAGAACAATAAAGTCATAGTTGTGATTTAATTTCCTTTATACTATTTTAAAAGATTTTTTAAATTATATATTTTTTCATGATACTGAATCTGATTCCAGTCTTTTTCATCATTTAGTATACCTGTTCTAATCAAGGACAAATAAAAAACCTCTTGGAAACCTTTTTGTTATGACAGCATGTTCAGCAGAAGTAACTGGTGTGCAAGCAAACCATAAAGGTGCAGCTCTCCCAAAAGCACATTTTGTTGATTGTCCTGCTGTCACCATTTTCCATAGTGATCTTGACAGAAGACTCTCGAACTTGTGAGCATTAGTATGCAGCCTCACTAGCTTGCAGGTTCACATCTTGGAGAGGAAGTCTAGCGCACAGCTAGAGAAAAGCTCCAGGAGTTGAAGTCTTAATTCCTGAAAAACCTTACATCCTACAAAGCAAGACAACACTTTTCCTTTTTTTTTGGCATCTTAAAAATGCGTCAGAAATGTATGCTCAAGTAGCCCACTTAATCCTTACTTACTTATTTTGCAAATTTGGCTGGGAGAGAGACCTTTTAAAGAAGCCACTGCTGGACAGGCTTTCAGCGCAGCCCCTAACAGAACACAGGCAGCTGGCTATCCTATTCCGTGGCTTTTATCCAGACACTGGTTACTGTTCACACGCTATAGGGTTCATTTTACAGGGCTATACCACAGAAGTGGGTTGTCTTTTATGTCGCGGATATGAGCATTGTGATAGAGCCACTAAGTTTGGAAACATCCAAATAAAAGTAATCTGTTCTAATTGCTTTATTGTCAGCATATGGGACAACCTGATTACCTCCCATAACCACGCAGCTGAAAGTTCCAAGATTTTCATCCTCTTTCATGGCTATTCAGACATTATTTCTACATGTGTATCTCTCCCAAAGATAAATAGTGATGCAGCATTTGAGAATCAGGATAAATATTATTTAGGTATCGAGAGAAATATTTACATTGTAGTTTGTGTCTTAGACCACATCTTGTTGATATAGCTCCATAATCTACCTGTGCAATACCTTGGGAAATTACACAGAAGAAATTCTAGACTTCATCTATCCAAATTTATTCAAGTCATCTGTCTATGTACCCCAGAAACATAGGAAGCACAGATTTCCAAAATGTAAACAAATAACAAATTGTAAATAAGTAGCAACTTCCAAAGTATGATTGGAATACCCCAACATATAGAAAAAAATCTGTTTACTCCTCCTCAAACATCCATTCTGGCATTGTATCAGTTGCTGGGATTGCCATAGCAAAGTGCCACAAACCGAGTGGCTTTATACAGCATGATTTTTTTGTGTTATAGCTACGAAGGGTAGAAGTGTGAAATCAAGGCATTCACAGGGCGTCAGAGTAAAATTGGGTGTAGCTATACTTCCATCAGATGAAGAAGATTACAAAATAAAAAATGTAACAAATGACAAAGATGGGCATTTTATAGCAATAAAGGGGACAATACATTTAAAAGGCCTAAAACTTATCACTATATATGTACCCAATCTGGGAGCATCAAAATATAGAAAGCAACTATTAACAAAACTAAAGAGACAAACTGGGGGAACAGGCAGTCATAGCAGGACACCTAACTAACCCATTGACAGACAGATGTGGGTTGATAATCCAAATGGAAAATCAATAAGAAAATATTGGTCTTAAATGACACATTAAAACAAACGGACATAATTGATATTTACAGAGCCTTTCATCCCGAACACCAAATTACACATTATTCTCTAGTGCATGTGGAACATTCTCAAGGATAGGTCATCTGTTGCAACACAAAACTAGACAAATTTCAAAAATCTGAAATTATACCAAGTGTATTCTCTCATCACAATGCTTTAATAGAAAATCAACAGCAAAAAGAAAGTGGATAAAACTACCAATGTGTGGAGATTAAACCACATGCTGCTCAACAACAACTGGGTCAAAAAAAATAAAAGGAGAGATCAAAAGATGCCTAGAGACAAGTGAGAATGCCAACACAATGTATCAAAACTTTGGGGATGCAGCAAAAGCAGTAATAAGAGAGTTTATGTCATTATAGGCATGCCTCGAAAAACAAGAAAAATTCCAAATAAAAAACCTAACATTTCACCTTAAAGAACTAGAAAAAGAACAAACAAAGCCAATAGAGAAGAATTAATGCAGTAAAAAGCTGGTACTTTGAGAAGATTAATAATATTGACAAACCTCTGGTTAGCCTCACTAAGGAAAAAAAGTAAAAGACAAAATCAGAAATAAAAGAGAAGGTAAAATAAACACCACAGAAATACAAAGAAACATACAAGAATAATATAAAACCAATATAACACAAAATTCAATAACCTAGAAGAAATGGGCACGCTCTTAGAAATGCATAATCTTAGATTGAATCACGAAAAACTGGAAAATCAAAGTAGATTGATCAATAGTAAGGAAATTAAAAAATTCATCAGAACTTCTCAAAAGTGTAAGCCTAGGACAAGATAGCTTCACTAGTGAATTCTACCAAACATTCAAAAATATTTAACACCCATTTTTCCAAGGTCTTCCAAAAATTTCAAGGAGAAATACTTTCTTAACTCATTTTATGAGGTCAAAATTACCTTGATGTCAAAATCTGGCAAAGATAATACAAAAAAGAAAACTACAGATACATAGTATCTCCGTTGAATATAGATGCAAAAATCCTAAAAAATATATATTAGCAAATCAAATACAAAAATACTTTAAAAAAACATATTACATCACAATCAATGGGGTTAATTTCAGGAGCATAGGGATGTTAACATGTGCAAATTGATTAAAGTGATATGCCACATAAAATCATATGACAGTATCAGTAGATGCATAAATATGCATTTGACAAGATACTACATTTATTTATGATTAAGACACTGAATAACATGAGTATAAAAAAGAGTAACTCAACATACAAGGGGGACCCCCCCCCCAAAACAGAGTTTTCTTCTGGAGAGTGGGACCCATATAGTACAGGCTTCTCCCATCAGGTGCATGCCCTAGGAACCCATCTGTATCAGGGTGCCAGATGGCGTTGTTGTGAGAGGCTGTGTTCAGCTTCAGTGAATTTTTTTAGACTCTTTCAACACATTTGCCTGTTTCACAATGGGTGAGTTACGAGCACACCTACCCACACCACACTGAACGTTCAGCAGTTTTTGACCAACAGTGGCATGACTCCTGCCTCGGCCCGCGAGGCAGTCAACGGGGTCCGCCGATATACCTGTAACGGATGAAGGGGGATGGGACAGGAGGCGCGAAGAATGGCAGCAAGACAAAGGATTCTGAAAGCTGCAAATTTATTTCAAATGGAGGGAGTTTATAGAGGAGGGCAGTGGAGGAAGTGCAGGGATGGTGACTTCAAAGGTGCTGCGCGTGGCGGGGGTGAGGCGGGCGCGTGAAGGCACTGATTGGTGTGCCACCCGCATGTCCAGGAGGGGGAGTTCTATGGCTCCTAACCGCAGCATCCTGTTATTCAGGCGCAACCTTCAGGCCTGATTGTATCAGCCTGTTTCAGGCTTATCCCAGCCCCCAACAACTCCCGTGCCGACTCTCCTTATTCACCTGGTCTTGTCACAAGCAAATTTTTTTTTGTTTCCATGGATGAAAAAGTCCTCAAAGGGAAACATTTTACTGATGTGGAAGAGGTAAAACAAAATTGAAGGTGGTCTTCCAGTGGGGGTCAGTGGAGCCAGGGGAGTGGTGGTGGAGGAATGGAGACCACTGCCCGTGAACAACAATCAAAAAAGAGAAATTTGAAAAAGGAACAGTAAAATTAATTGCTGGCCATATATACATGGAAAATAATAGATGAAAATTTGTTAACCCAGTAAAGGCTAAATTAGCAAACACAACAGAAAAGATTATTACAAATAATGAATGACTAAAAATTTTGAATTGAAATGGTAATTAATAATGTTTATTCCTTGATTAAAATAACTCATGAGTTGATACTGATATCTCTAATTCAAAGACAGGACTATAGAGTGTTTATCAACACTTCTATCTTACGTCTTTATCTTCTTTTCTTGACACTGCAATTCCTAATTCTTGTGAATACTGGAGGTGACAGAATTATGTCATGTAATTGTTCACCTGCTTTATTCCACATTACACAGAAATCATTTTCAGGATAATATACTACCAGAAATGTAGTTATTGAAAATGTTTGGAATTTTTCTATGTACTTGTCGTATTTGCTTTCCATTTTAAAAAAATAAAACTTTTGTTCTCTGAAAGTGTTATATTTTTAGAAAAATTTGCAAAGATAGTACAGAGAATTGTGTACCTCTCTCTTTCATTTTTCCGTAGTCTTAGCATTTTGCATAACCATAATACACTTACCACAACTAAGAAACCAACACTAGTATATTACTGTTAACTAAACTCCAGTTTTTATTCAGATTTCACTGTTGTTTTTCATATAATTTTTTTTCTATTTCAGGATCTAATCCAAGATACCATATTTGCATTTGTTTCATGTCTAGTCAGTCTCCTGGTTTCACAGTCTTAGTTGTTTGTGACCTTGAAAATTGTGAGGAGCACTAGTTAAGTATTT